AGAACGGCAAATTATAACGAAACATTTAAAATATATTATACTTACTAAGTCACACGCCTTTTGGACACAGCTCATTCTTTTATTATAAGAAATTAGATAGATAAGATGAGACGAGTATAAACTCATAAGTCATTATTACATAACGTTAAAACTAGAAGATATTATAACAAAAAAAAATAATAACAGTACGTTATATAAAGTTAAAAAAGTTTTACTTTACTTACAACAATACTAGATAATATTGTAATGATGTGCATCTAAGCAATCATATATAATTAAAATTAAATATTTAAATACAATATAATAAAATAATTTAAAACAGTTATGATAGCCAATAGTTATAAGTCGTTAGTATTAAATAAGATAAAATTATAAGAACAATAGATAGCACACATACACACATACAAGACATTAGATATAAAAGGCCGGTCAAAGGACAGTGTTCTTACCATCTTTTTGTATAGTCGATCACAAGCGAGTATAAAAGACTACGCAGATCGGATATACAAAAAGACGTAAGTGTTAAAATTATTTATAGTTAAAATTAAATATATGTTAAACAATTCGTGTATTGAAAAATTATATTCAAGTTAATAAGTGTACTTGAGTAAAGAAAGTCTTGTAATTATTTAATATATACTGATCACCTTACTACATATTCAAAACATTTACTGCAGCATTAATAGAGAAGTTGCTGTCAGAAGAAGAAAGGTGATATAATGATTTGGAATTTATTTAAAGGCATATAATCGAACCCCGATATATTATAAGGTCTTTTTAAATTATAATATTAGCGATGAATCAACAAGAAAAATTCGCAATTCAGATGGAAAATCATGATGGACATCAACAAGTACATTTACATGTATCATATATTGTAATTTGTAGTAACAAAGGACCAAAAAATTATATACATATTTTATTACAGAACCAAACATTGTAATATTATTTTTATCTACGAGTATTGTCAAAAATATGTAGGACAATTAAGTCCAATATACGGAGAAACTATTATTTATAGAGTTGAGTTACATTAAAATTCAATAATTGAAGAGCAAAACCCTTATCATAATTTTAGACTGGTGAATGTTCGTATCTGTGTGTTATCTTTAATCTGGTAATGGAAATTCTTCAATTATTCGATCAACCAGGCGAATCAAAGAAAGTGTTTCCCAAATTTCACTTCATAATCATTTCAGAATCCAAGAGCTTGGATTTTACTTAAAATATAAAGAACTCAAAAATGCTTAAATGCTATAAATATTATGTAAACATAAACTAATTGTAACCATATTTAAATGTCCTTGGTAAGAACAGTAAAAAAAAAGTACAGTGATTAAACAACTGAAGAATATGATGATGTGGAATAGGTCAAGGTGGTGGCGAAGAGCAAAGAGAAATTGGAACAGCATCGAATGTAATCAAAAGTCCGGTCGCAAAATATAAAGGCAAATACAAAAGTATCTTGAAGATTATGAATAACGTGTTATACCTATTAACAAAAATATGAACTATTTGTTTGAAAATTGTGAAATAGTTATCATAAGTATTATTAATTATACTGGTATTGTCCATTGGTCGAAGTCAAATAGTATAAAACGTCTTAATTATAAAATATAAACTCATCATGTACTAAAATATTGTATTTTTTATCGCTCACACAGTTCGGTATCGAAGTTTGTGCTTTTTCTCCTTGTATTTTTATGAACTATGATCGTCGTTTAATAAAATATGAATTTCATCGTATTTTAGTTTTTGAGTCCGTAAGCTACAAACATAATATGAACATTAGAATTTTGCTTTTTTATTTACACTTGAATAACAAACAATATAACTAAGGTTACTATTTAAATTGGTTAAGTTACTATTTTTAAATTTCGTAATTACTTGACTTCACCAGTGATTCGTTCTAATTTTCTGGGCAGATTACGCCACTGGTATATTCATATTTTCATATTTTACCTGTCTTAACGTTATTATATGTGTAAACATTTGTTTTAAGCAGATTTCCTCTACAATGGACATTAGATTTTTAATGGTATATGTATTTATTTTTCAGTTTTCTACTAATGCAGTAATGCATGTATAGATAATTATACAACAAATAAATGCTTGTGTATTAATTTACTAAATATTAAATTTATTGTGTTTATTGTATTCAAAATTTAGTTTTCTTACAACATCTGGCTATACTTTCATAATGTATCATAAGAAAAATTAAATATAACTACGATGGCTTGAAAACTTTGAACTTTAATATTTCACACATTTTTTAAAATTATTTCTTACATCACACATTTTTTTTTCTTATAGGATTCTGAGTAATTAAAATTTGTGGTAATGTTATATTTGCATAACAAAAAAAGATATTTTAGTTTTATTAAATTGTTAAACATATTCATACGGACATATGGTATTAAATATGACATATAATTAATTAACTTTTAATTGCTTCTTGTTTTGAAGTACCAAGCATTTATAATACATTGTTTCAGAGTGGTTCTAATCGATTATCATTAAAATGATATTCATCAATCATCAGTTATCATTGTACTTCCTAAAAAAAATTTGATTCGGCTTAGTGCTTTCTACAGTATAATTATATAAATATGATGAAGAGAAAACTATATCAGTGATTATAATATATCATTAATCTATTATTATATTACTCTGCAATTTTGTATAGAGATCAATGTGCATAATAATAAAACTTGGTAACAAAACAAATAGGTAGGTACTAAATTAAACCGAGGCTATCGCTCGGAACGATCAGTAAAATAAATACAAAGTTTATCAACTGTGACCCAGTAGTCCATATTATAGTATATTACCCGTATCTCGTAATGAGTACCTACCTATGTACTGAGTATCTGTGTACAATATAATATGTTGTACCTAAAATAAATTCCAACGCCTTTAAGCAATAAACTATCTTTAATATTTATGTCTAAATCAAAAAACTTGTGTGGATATGATTTATTTTAAATCCAAAATAAAATTAATACAATAACAAGTTCAAAAAGCTTATTGATTTTAAGGACGAAGGTGAACTTACTAATGATTTAAGAAATTATCCGTTTTTGATAAAAAGTAAAAAAATAATTATTTATTTATTTATTTTTATAATTTCATTTCCATGAATTAATTATAATTTATAATTGAGCAGTATAATCTTATTAAATTTGCATTTTTATTGGTAGGTGAGAGATTAATCTCATCTCAATATTATGCGAATATAGTATGTAAATACTATAAACGATATACATGATAATATAATTTATATATAATTATTCTGTTTTTAGTACATCCGTTTGTATGGGTTCAATTTAATATTGGTGTACCTAGTTTTATTATTTGTTGATTTACATAAGTGTACAATAACAATGTTATTTACGAATTAAATTAAAACTGTATTACACCAATATAGAATGCAAACATTTCAAACTATAAATATATTTAATGGTTATAAAATAAATGATGACGGTATAAATATACCACAAACAAAAATAGAATACTAGATATTATAATTAGATACTCGTCAGATAATCTAGTTGTTTGTTTCGCCATAAATACTGCAAGTATATTACGAGTATTACGACGTATCACTTCTATAGTTCTACACATACGATGGGCAAGACGTAATGTCGAGTGTTGTAATTTATAACTTATCAAGTACCTACTAACTTATACTGTGTCTAATTGGGAACTCATGTGGGTGAGCAGTCCGCTGTATAATATTTTATTTAATTAATTTGTTTATACGTATAATTACTAATACCGTGGCTATGGGCTATGACACATGGTTTATATATTATGGGGAAATAGGTAGCGAACTTTCATCACGTTGGCCAATCCCTTTAACTCTCAAGTTTTTTAATGATAGAAAACCTAAATTTGTAATGTAAGCTTTTTTTATATTTTTACATCTTGTCATTATAATATTATATGATTAATATGTAGTAACTAATAATAAGTATCATACAGTGCGAAACTACGAACTATTGTATCATTATTTCGAGTATAATATTATTGCAGACACAAAAAACGAGCATCAGCCCCCCGCGACCCGTTGCTTATACCTATTAATGTGTTCTCTACATTATACTGGTGCGCACTATTTGTTGTGTGTCAATAATTTGTGTACAGTGACGAAAAACGAACACTTGCTAGTGACTCGACCGGGTGTTCAATTTACGCGCATTGTTATCCTTCAAATTCCTTTAATTTAATTCGATAAATAAAAAACACCGAGCTTTGTGTTTGATAGCCACTACCGAAAATCGGTGCTCGACAATTATTGTACCAAAACGGTTAGCGCTCGTTTTTCGTGACGGCAATAAAGTCGCCGTAAATCTGATGTAATTTCGAGGATTAAAACCATTAAAAGGCAAAAACGAAACAAATCAGCGCACGCCGAGTGAATAATAATTCCGTCCTCCGCCGGAGACGAGCGAGACGGACCCGACGGACGACGCTCGCTCACCTCACCCACAAGGCCATAACACAGTACCGGCGGTACCTACCTACCCATCCTACCCATCCACCCACCAGCAGGCAGCACATGACCCAGGTGGCCGCCTGGGTACCTCACCAATAACTGTTAGCGAGCGACGCAACACAATAAAATCGAATAACGCCGGGCGAGGGCAGCTGCTGTTTTCCAAAGGCCGTTTGCCGTGCGGACTGCGGAGCAGCGCGCGCGTGCGCCGTCGGGCCACTCGATAATCGTTCTCTCTCGCTCGCTCGCCGCCTCCCGCGCTTGCACACACACTCACACGCGCACGCGCACACACACGCACACGGACGTATCAACAGCATTGTCATCGTACCGGTCGCGTGCGCGTGCGCGTGCGCGAGCAAGAGAGTGAGAGAGACCGTCGCGGTAGTGTCGGTCGGCGAAGGATGGCGCTACGATGACGGGAGGGGGGGGAGGCGCTCGAATGATAAAGATTAAAGACTCCCGGCTGGCTCGCTACCAACAGTACCAACTTACAACAACAACAATAATAATAATAATGCGAGAAAAATAAATATATAGTAGTAGTATTATAGTACAAAGAAGTCAAGGTCGTCAACACGACGTACCGCGTAATATTATTATTAGATAGCAGTGGCGGCGGCGGCGAGTGGCGACGGCAGTCGGCATTTTGGCGGCTTGGCGGTCATTTTTATCGCTTTATAGTATTAGTTTGTACGGTAGTGTGCGTACGTGAGTGCGAGTGTGTGCGCGCGTGTGTGTGTGTGTGTGTGCGTTAGTGTTAGCGTTTCTATGTGCGCGCGCGCCGCGAGTAAACAAAAACAACTCAATAAATAATTAACGTTCAACGGACCAGCAAGTGTTTCGACTTTTGACTTTCAAGAGTGTGTTGCGCGCAGAGACGATCTGTGCGCCTTTTATTTTATTTTTTTTTTTTTTTTGCCGTCTTCATTCGACACCCCTCTTCCGCATTCGTGCGGCGTTCCAATTGTTACGGCTAATATACCTTGGTCGTATTCCATTGTCGTCAATAATCGTCAATTTCTTAACGATCGTCGGTAGACTACGTCTCTGACCGCGGACGAATTGCTGTACGAACTATCCTGGCCGGAAATCCTCGTTCGTTATTATTAGTAATCCGAAGGTCGGCGTCGGCGAAAGTTGCGTGCCGTCGGGTTCCTGGACAGGGACTCTGTTCGTCCGTATTGGGCCCTAGTACGGTCGGCATTGAAATGGAACATTCGACTACACACCCGCATTTTAGCAATTGCTGTACACAACGAAAACCGTGCTGTTTGTACAGGCGGCGGACATAAACAGTATTGACATTGTTGTACTCTTGTTGTATCCACCATGAAACTCTTGGAGAGCTCGCAATTGGTCGAGTTGTCGAGAGCACTTTGTGTAGACCGAGGAGATGTTAAAGTTGTTGCCAGGTAATATTGTTATTTTACCCACCGTACAAATTTATATTTCGATCACAATCTCTTTTGGTGTAGGATTGAAAGCTATTCGTGCAAAATGGTAGGTGATGAAAAACACAAGTATAAAAAGTTTTACTCTCAGAGTGGCACACAGCCAGGTGACCTCGAAGCACTGGGCTGCTCACCCAACAGTGATCCACGATATGGGAGAAGGTATGAAAAACTAATAGTACTCTAATGATTTTAAGTATGTACCTATTAAAACAAAATGTAATGTTACCCAACCTATTATACTATTATAGTATTAATACATATTATATCTACCATACTTTATTTTTTTATTATTATGGGCTCAGGCTAAAATATTTATACAATGTTTATAAATAAAGCAATAAAATTATAAACTTTAGGAGATTTGTATTAAATCTATAGTCAATCAATCAAATTAGGTCTATGATTTCACTAATTGAAAACTGTAAGATTCTTTTGTGTATTCACAGTGGTCGAAGTGGCTTAAAATAAGTGGAAGAATGCCTACATTTTTATACTTTTCTTATATTATTATGGTTTGCACACATAAAGGTGATTAGAGATGGACATGAGTTGACCCTCTATACCAGTGGTCACCAAATGGCGGCCCTTGAAAAAATTTTATCCGGCCCGTAGACAAAGAATCAATAACATATATTTAATAATATAATATGTTCTCATTACTTCCAATTTTAAAATAATACCCATTATATGTTAAAAATATTTACTTAAAATTTTGATAGCCTGCAAAAAATGTTCAGACTCCTAATGTGGCCCTTCAAAAATATTAATTGGTGACCCCTACTTTATATCAATATAAGTAGATAATCTTTGTATATAATTATTATAAGAAGATGTGTTATTTTGGTAAAAACAAATGAAGGGATGGAAAATGAATTATAAAAAGTGGAGTGATGCCATCCCATTGTATTCTACTCTTCACTTTGACCACTATGTATTCATATAAAGGTATTTTCTATACTAAAAATATTCTTAAAATATAGATTAAAAAAAAATTAATTGTGAGGTATCACTATTGATTTAATTATAAGAAAAAATAGAATTGCTGTTTAAAAAAAGCTAAAACATTTTTTACAATAAAAATAGAAGTAAATTATATGTAGGGACTGGATTTATATGGAAATGAATATATGTATTGAAATAAGGTTTTTGAAACCTGATGAGAATTTTCTCCGATTTAGATCATTCTTATTAAAATAACACTTATTTTATTTCGCATATTTTGTATATTTCAACAGTTTTACCTATGTAATACATATTAGTAGTTTTACGGTATATATTATTATTTATAGCACATATATTTGTTTTTCGTCGTATTTTTACATTCACAGCGACATAATTTCAATAAAATTAAGACCGTCCGTTATTACTAAAAATAAGATGACATACTCATATGAAATATAATATATTAATATAGATCTATTTTTATTTTTTTATTAATGTTAGCTAATATTTTATAGATTGGAGATAGGTAAAGAATATTAAAAGGTGAAGATGACAATACTTTTTTTATGCTTATAAAACCTTTTTATGTCTTTTAATATTTAATTGTTAATATGTTTTATTTTTTACATTATTTAAAAAAAAATACTTTTGATTCAATTTTTAGTGCAATTTAATAATAGATGCATATTTTGTAACATATTACAGCATTTTTAGAAGCATATTTTGAGGATTTTTTTGTGCATTTAAATCCAGTCCTTAGTTATAATAAGTATTAAAAAAAAATTGACTCATATAATTTATCCATTATCATTGTGCAATTTATATTGTTTTAATAGGTACCATTATATTTATTTAAAAAATTGATTTTAATTAAATTTAATTTAATGTATATTTACAGTCTTAGCGTATCAGGAGATGAAGAAGTCTTGTTATGTGATACAATATCACGCAAATCTTTATTTTACTTGATTGCAACACTTAATGCCACATTTGCACCTGACTACGATTTTACAGATGCCAAGTCGTCAGAATTTAGTAGAGAACGTAGTTTGCAGGTTAATAATAACTAATAAGTATTATAAATGTTACGTTACCAGAAGAACTAATGATAAAAAGCCACTGTACTGTAAATGTAAGAAATATTACTATTATTTTAAAACTCAAAGTGTTAAGTATATTATTCACTAATTAATTTTTATACTTTATCATGAAAATAGTTATAATTACTTGATGGTAATACATAATTATTTTGCTCTGCTTGTCTATGCATTTTACAATGCATTATTTATTAGGTACATAGTAAAAATTATAAATTTTGTTTTATACTTTCAGTTTTATCAATTTTTAAGTCCAGAAAAACTTTATATCTTATGTTTCTAATTACAGGATTATTGATATTTTGCTGTCAAATTAACTTAAACTTAAACAAAAATATTTAAAGTATTTATAAAAATTGCTTGATAAGAAATTTTGAAGTTGATCATCATTTATTGTACTTCATTTTTAGCAAAATTCACTTTTAAGTGTCCAAAACATGAAAAGCTAATTTGCTGATCTAATAATAGTTATTTTGTTTCAGTGAATTTTGAATATCCAACCATTGAACTTTTTTAAAAAAAAAGTTTATAGTCGAGCTATGGTTTATTAAATTTCTAAGGAGATAACCATTATTTTTCATTTTTTGATTCATATAAAATGATTTTTTTTAAATATAAATACATTTGATAATTATTTTAATTAAAAGATTACATTTTAAAACAGTTCAATTATTATTATTTATTTTAGTGGGTCATGAGAGATGTGGATAATAACTTATCAGCAGTCATTGTGGAACCTAACACAGGAACATCATGTGTTGCATCTAATCAAACTATTATGAATCACCTACAAAGTAATACAGTTCCAAAAAACTACTCACAGTTACGAGATACACTCTGGGAAGTAATTGACAAAGAAATTGGCATGTCACAATGTGATATTTACAGGTAACCTTACTAGAACTAAAATTTTATATTTAGACACATTTCATATTCATTATGTGTCACTTACAGCTATACACCTGACATGCGATCTGATCCATTTAGTGAAGATGGATGCCTGTGGTCGTTCAACTATTTCTTTTACAACAAAAGATTAAAAAGAATTTTATTTTTTACTTGCCGTCGCATTATTAGGCGAGTCTCAAAAATCCATAATTATAATTTAATCTGAGAAGTTTAAGATTTGTATATTTTTTTTATATTTATTTGTATTTTGGGTCTAAAAAAGTGATGTGATAAAAATTATTAAAGATATTTTCTTATTGAATCTATTATTTCTCAGAATTAATTGTATTTTATGTGTTAGTATGCAATACTTAAACTTTTATGTTGAGTTAACTTTTTATTTTTGTACTTTAGTTCTTCTTATCCCATGGACTTTGATGGATCAATAGGAACTGGATCAGACTCTATGTTCTTGTCTGATTATTATGATGATGGAAGTGTTGATAGCAATAGTAGGCATCGCAGAGAACGAAGTCCTTTAGACAATAGTCGCCGTCGAAGTGGAAATAGTAGTTTCTAAATAACAAAATTAAAAGGAAAAATAGTCTTAAATATATTTTAACTTGTTGTCTCTCTCTTTTTTTTTTATGCTTTTAATTATATATTAGTACACACCAGCCAATAACTATCATTATTTAAAATATACCTAATCATAATATATACACAAATATTGTGTTATTTTACACATTTTTAATTGTTATTATGTGTGAGTCTAACTATATTAGGATTGTAAATTGTTTTACAGATGTGTTGTGAAACTAAGATATAGTGTGGTGGATCTCAGTTATTGCATATTTAAATAGTCATGAATGATTTTATTGTCTCCAATATTTTGTTGACATTTATTTATATTTAAATTTATTAACAAACAATTTTACTAAAGATTATTTAATTATAACATTATTATAATATTAAAGGTTTATGAAATTGTATTTCCAAAAAAATTATTTAAGTATATTTTAATTGTAAATTAAATTGTTTAAATATTAATATTATTTATTACAATAACAAAGTATTATTCAATATTAGATAGTATTATAAGACGCTGATCTTACTTTACCTTGAAACTCTTATTAATTTTATACTGGTCAGATTAACTTTAGATGAACAAATTATTTATTGTATTCAAAATGTAATAGATGTTATTTGGAAAGAAATATATTATCCAAAGATAAATATTATTAATATGTTTGTTTTTATGAATTTATTGTACCTGTTTATATATTTTAATTAAATACATTACTTTTCCATTATAATTTAAGTCAATAAACCTTTGATTTAAAAGATACAGATTTTTATTAAATTAATGATTTAATTTTAAAGTGTATAAAACATTAGTATTTAAAATTTAATGGTAATTTTTTTCTTTATAAATATAATCCAAAAGATAACCCGTCATAACCGCAAATCCAAAAAAACGAATGTCAAATTAGTGACAGCAAAATAGCTAAAATCTATAATAGCGAATGTCCAAGACAGCTAAAGTATATTATGTATTATTTTAAAATTATTACTCTTATTATTTATCTGTAGTAATATTATTACATTATAAAGATACAGATAATGACAATCTGTTTTATAGCTGGGTTATCCAATATTATTGTCCGATCGTATCGGATATAATAATAAAACAGGTGGATTATATGTTTAACAACTCAGTATCGCAATAATTGCATTCCTCGTATATATTATATAGTTTCACATATTATGTCGTTTAAAAATATTGAATATTTAATTTCACAAAAAAATAAACCACTCGTAAGATACGAAAGGGTTTTGAATCAGAAGGATTGTGAAAATAGCAAAGTTTCATACGGGGGATCTACAGAAGTTGAAAAATGTTGTGGTAGAATTAACATTAAATATGATTTGGTTATTAAAGATTCTTCATTCAAACATGTACATGTCTCCAATCCAGTTAAAATCGAAATCAAAATATTAACTGAGGTAATGAAAAAAAGTTCTTCAACTACTTAACACTATCCAATTAAAACTATTAATGATATTGTAATAACGGTGTAATCGAATGTAAATTATTTAAAAGGCATAGCCTATAATTTAAAACTACAAGTATAAATTATAGATATGATATAATATATTTTATCTTTTTTATTTTTTTATATTTAATTTGATGTATGACTATGTTTGACATATAATATTAATAATTTTGAAATAATATACTTTTTAAATACCAAATATGTTTTTATTTTTTATATTAAATTATTTTAAAATAACATACTTTAGCTATTTTGAACATTCGCTATTATGGTTTTTAGCTATTTTATACTTAGCAATTTTGCCGTCACTATTTAGACATTCGCTTTATTGGATTCACTGATATAACGGTGACTCAATCCAAAACCCTAATTTTAAGACAAAAACCACTATTAATGATTTTTTTATTTTATTTTATTAATTATTAATTTATTGTTGGACATTTCGAGTAACAGTATCAAATCAATAATTTTTGCATAACTTTTAATTTACCTAGTAACAATTGATAAATAGTAGAATTAAGTTCTATCTATAATTATTGGTAACATAAACATTTTTTTTTAATTTGGTTTACCTATTATTAAATGTTTATCATGATTGTCTTATCAAATTATCATTATTTTATTTAGTTTTTTATTCTTTCTATTTAAAAGTAAACAAATTAAAAATAACTACTAAAATAAATATGTAATGAATTATGCTGTAAAATATTATTTAATTTAAACATTCATTATCCTTATAAAATTACTTAAGAAAAGCTTAAATCAAAAAAAAAAAAAATTACTATCTATAAACAGTAATTTCCAAAATATTTAATAATATATTACTGAAAATCATGTTTAATAATTTATGATTATTTATAGTTAACTTATTTATTTTAAATCTGTTATAAACATTGTATTTCTCATAAAAATTAGTATTGATTTGTTGAATCATACTGTTATACTATGCTGTTTAAGTTTCCATGATTTCAATATACTATAAAAATTGTATATTGAATAAATTATCAAACAGTTATTAAATTTTGAATTATAATAATATCGTAAATTAATAACTATAAGAATTCAATATTATTAATAAGTAATAACTAATTATTATTGAATGCGAATGATGTTGTGTTTATTACTCATTTTTTAATATTGCAATTAATAAAATATTAAATGATAATATTGATTAATTTTAGTATTATATTATCATGTGGGACTGAGTAAAAAATTGTCATTTACATGAATTAATAGTAGACTTGTAGACTTATTATCACAAATAATGTCAGTATTTGATTACAAACTTGTTACCTCTGTTCCAAAAACTATTCAGAAGGGGATGAGGTTTCTCATCTTAAGAAATGCCATTTCTTAAACACTATCATTCTAGCTATTAAATCCATTTAAGATCATCTTAAATTTACAACTAAGAAGTATGATATTACATGTTAATAACTAGTACCAAGTCACTATAATTAATACACTTTCATTTTAAAGATATATCGGGCATTAGTTATACTTTTTAAAAAAAAACAAACTTATTAGTAATTGTATTATTTTTTTATTAAATTATCTTTACAATAAGATACATTTTTTATATTATTTTCATTATTAAAAATATGCCACACATAAATGATACTTAAATTTAATTATGCTCAAAAAAAGATTTACTGTGAAAAAACCAGTCAGTTATATTATTATTTGGAATAAATATATGTTTAATATTATCTTTTATAATGAAAAAATTAAAACAGAATTGCTATTATTTCATGTATATACGGTAATAAGTTATTACTAATATTTTTAATTACTATATCTGTTTATTACTTTATTATTAGCATGTATTAGAAAATATGTCGTTAAATGTTATGAATTTATTATACCGATAAGTGTCAACTGAATTTATATTAATTTAGTACTTACATAAGAGATATTTTTTATCTAAGAATAGGCAAAGATCTAAACATAGAGGTGAATAATAAGATAATATTGGCTAGCTATAGCTTAAAAGCTAGATATAACATATTAGCATTGATATTTATTACAAAAATGCGCTTTGTAATATCTTTTAACTAGGTACCTATTTGAGTGATAATGTGATGAATGTACTACTAGTAACTAAAACAACTTATGAACGGACATTTTTTAAGTTACTTTGTCTCAAGACACATTTAAAGTCCAGAGTGGGTGAAGACAACCTGAATAGACTGGCTATACATTGTGTTGATGTGATATTAAGTTGAAAGTATATAACCCACTTTACAGTTTATACAATAGATTAAATATACTATAGTATATTTAGTCTATACTTATACCTATGTGCTATGAGTAGTATGACCAATAATTATTAGAATTCTTTTCAGTGCTTCGCAATGAGTTCTTATTATAAGAATGTTTTATATTATATTTAAATAAAATTAATAATTATGACAACAAACATTAAAATCTGTGCATTTCGTTTGATTCTATATGTTTTTGTTTTACTTTCGTTAAGTACCTACTGAAACATAGAAACGTTTTACACACACAGTTCATTAGGTAATAGCAACGAAATCGTAAAAGGTTCTGATAGGTAATAAATACCTACATTACATATACTATTTTCGCATAAATATTACCTATACATTATTATAATTTATCTTCCTTAATTTGTTTTAAAATATAACATATTTTAATGCTATAAAAATTATAAATGATCACTTTTAATATAATTTCAAGTTGCTAACACGTCAACACCATGAACCCATTACACATGTACCTATCTACGTGGGCCCAAGAGATGTGCTCATTTGGGCCCGCGTATATGTGTATCAATTTAGATTCAAAAATTTTACGTGGATTTTATTGGTATTCTGATGGAAACTAGTACCTAATGCACCAAATTACATGAATACCTACTATACGGTAGGTATAGGTAGGTATGTGACATGTATAATATACGTATACAAGTAGGTATATTGCATTATAATAAGTATATAATATGTATATATATATAATAATTTTATTTCATATTAGTATAATACCTATTAACCTACATATTTAATATAATTTATAAGAAATTTATTATATTATTGCAATAAAATTACAAAATAATAATAATTACTTATGTACCTATATTAAGTATAGATATTTAATTTATAAATTTAATTGCACAATTTATTTATTTAGTATCTTATTTCATGTTATCAAAAATTATCTTTCTTAAGTAATTACACGATATGAAAAATTGTAAAAAGAGACGTATACATTTCAATATTTTATGAACTAGGTATCTAATGTCTGAATTACACTATTACGGATATAATAATATAAGTAATACATATAATGTACTTAAACAATAATGATGCTTTTACGTATCTACCTATTATTGGTAATAAAAAATAGGTAAATTTAATAACAAGTAAATTATAGAAAATATAACCATAATTTGGCCTAAATTTGATAATAAAATTCGTTAATACTTAATATTTAATATATTTTAATTGAATCCATAATTAATGTTAGATGAAAACGAATAGTATAAATATAATAGTATATATATAATAGTATTAAATATTAATTATTATATGCAATTATATTGTATTTATTAGACATACGTATTTAACGAAAAAAGCG